ACGTCGGATCGACGATTCCCGAAGCCCATCGCCGACAGCTGACTTCTTATTAACCCCCTTGCTATAGCGCATAAGACAACTAGATGCTCAACAATACGTTTTTGTTCAGAAGAGAACACTGTATCCTAATTTTTTTTAATCTCAAAACTCCACGTATCTGCATTTCCGTGTCTAAGGATCGACGCCGACATTATGATCAACGCCAGTTCCAGGCAGCTGGTACATGAGGACTGCATTATTGTTGATCGATGCTTGGCTCATCACCAACAAATGTTTGAAGTCTGCTATCTATTCGCGTCAGCCGGTCACTGGCACATGGGCCTCAGCAATGCACCATTGAGGTAGACAGGGCAGATCAGTAACCATAGGCTAGAGAGGGATCTCGATGTTTGCCAGCATGACCAGTGTCAGTGTCGGCTTTAGTTTATGCGCTGCTCTAATGTGGTTTCATATATGCGACTCCACGCACTAACTTAGCATATTATAGCCAATGCGTCTCGAGAAGAAGAGTAAGTATGGAAGATTCAGACGCAAGTAAGGCAAGGGAACAAAAGAAATGTTGAATGTCGGTGTGCCGACATTGCTCTGCCACCCTGCATAACGAACACAGAATTGATGGAGACCTATGAACTTCGCCAACCTTTATCGAATATGAGTTCTCAGATCAGCCACAAACTATGAGATTACGATCTGGAACATGCATGAACTCCAGAACCATAGCACTCGGGATATTCTCACACACCAAAGATTCTATCAAAACTAAATATTTGGCCCAAACAGCCAGATGAACCCTGACTCTTGATACTGTTCACAGCCGAGTCTGGATATTTGATTCTGACAGGCCCTCGAACATTTCCCAGGCAAGACGGCGTCACCATATTATTTCACACAATTTGTATGCTCAACTACCCAAGATCCGTGCCATCTATCAGTGGTGAGGCCAGGGGACTTAAACGTTCTCACTATAGCTTGGAGGGTTTATATATAAATGAAGTAGCCGGCCCCCAATTAAACCAGAGGTTATTTCCTTGTGCATCATATCTATTTTGAGTGGTAAATTTCCAACAGCAAAGTTTGACTATAAACATTAGGTAGGTAGCCCAAGGATCCAGTACTCGGCTATGGTCTAGAAGAAATCTTGAGACTCTCATCCTGAGGCACAATAACTCTGATAATTTGGGTATGAGTTCAGTTTGCTCTTTGAGTAGGGATCATTTCCCCCGTCCACAGCTATTTTGGTCGTCACCCTGGTATAATATGCTGTGAGCAAAGCTGATGCTTGAGATGTCTTCAAGTTTATCCTCTAGCTTTTGTGATCCTTGGACAGATTCTGGCGGCATGTATACTGATCTTGTGATGAGACACCCTTCACACCAGGCCTCTCTCAGGCGCCGAACATACTTGGAATATCTCGTCGTGAGTGAACTTAGAACAGTCTGCTGGCGATCTATTTGTCTTGCTCCCAAAAGGTTCTGCTTTCGACCATAGATGATGAGCAGGATGTATATAAGTCAAATAACAGGACACCTAGTTTTTGTAAGTCTAAGGATAAAGCTATATTCCATGTTCTTACAAGCACGGAAAAACTATCTCTGGCACGTTTGCGATTCGTCATGTCCCCTTTGGCTGATCAAGAACTATTATTAGATGTAAGCTTGCTATTCTAAGTGACATATATGATTTCCATACACTCGTTACAAGGTAGAGAAGCCCTTTATTATGACCAGCACCAATCAAAAGTACCGAACAATTAAATACTGAGTAGTGACAGAGTTGGATAGCTGTTGGCGGTGGTTTGAGAAACTCATAGGGTTTGAATCGACAGAATGCAGGCCACGGAGTTTGAGGAAGCCGTAGATTGCGATAGCCAGGAGGCAGTCAAATTCAACTCGGCAGAACTACCATACCTAAACTAAAGCTCTACTGTTATATCCAGCGTTGATTTGGGAACGGAGGCTAACTTATACATCGGCGACACTGAGGCAAGGTTATTTGTGAAATGTGTCACGAACCCATGAGACACATAACTGCCGACTAACGTTAATAATCAGTTGCCAAGGTTAAGGCCATTCGCTGGAGGCACTGAGTTTGGCAACTCGCATAATTTAGGATTTAGTAAAACGGGGTATGCTTATTAACATGCTTACTGGTAAGGCTTATCACAGGAGCTTTGAAAATGGAATTGAAAGTGCTTTGTTCCCTATTGCTCTGAATGGGGGACCTTGGCGAGTTCCTTTGTTAAATTGGTTCACAGCCTCAGCAGGTTACAACCCAACAGGGAGTCAGTCAATCTATTAATGGAAGCCAGCTCGTGACAGCCCTGATCAAAGCACCCAAGAGCAAAACAGATGATTCAATGACCTGAAAGCATGAAATATTCGCCTCTGCCTTTATGATTTCCTGTTTCACCTCTGATTATGGACAGTATCTACCGTAGTTTTCTCCTTGACGTTGACAATAAATACGAACGTTATTCCACTTGCTCCTCTTATTACCCACCCTAGGTACTTGGCCGACTCCCTCCCCCTGCCTGGCGTCTCCCCACTTTGAACCCGTCCACTAGGCCCCATCTTCTCGGGTTCTAGACTCCAGACCCTCCTCCGGACTTCCCTCTCCAACCCGCGCGTCAACTTGAACCTTCAACAACTCAAGACAGGAACGTTGTGGACACCCTTCGAGGCAAATACATCATATTGCTGTACCATTCACTTCCAATACTAGTGTTATACCCTCAATCTCTCGCGCCTTGCTACACGCCCTGTCGCGCATCAAACTATGGCAGCGGCTGGCCTAATCGATCCGACAAAGACGGGCAACTATCCCGTCATCCTCGGCGATGCTCTCTTAGGCAAGACGTCCAACGAGATCTTCACCGGTATTAAGTGTAAGTTTTTCTTAACCTCCAAGCTCGATGTATCATGATACTTACATACTCCAAGACAATCACAAGCCGACACTCTCGTCAGACTCAGCCCCCAACTTAGCTCGCATAAAACCCTCTATCCCCGGAAAGACGGCATCCTACGACCTCACCTATACCGACAACGACGCAAAGTATGCGTTTACAGGGACAAGAAATAAGGATAGTGGTCAATATGTTCTTTACTTCGACCCCAGCCGCGAGGCCTTTATCCTCGATCTTGTCGACTCTACTTTCAACATGAACGTCACCCGACTGCCTGGTAACACCGATGCTGACAGTCTCCGTCGACAATATCCTCACATCGACAGCGCATCAAACGGCGTATCGAAAACAAACACAAAGGTTGAAAAGAGTGCCTCCGACAAATCAAATGCCAAAGCACGCGTCAAATCCACCACACAGAAAAGAGATATCAAGCGCAAGCCCGAGAAGAAGCAGCCCCCCAAGAATATCGAGCTCTCACTACCAGTACCTCAATCTAATGAACAATCAAAACCTGCGGAACCCAAGAAGCGCACACCAGCCCCCGAAGAAGAGGACGAGGACGAGGACGATGACGATGGTGGTCTTCTTGTCGAGTATCCTGGCGCCGACACCAACACAGCGCGTAGGACTGACTTCTCGCCTGCTTTCCCATCTGTGCGCCGCTTTGACGAATTCATGGATCAGCGCGAGTCTGAAGGTGATGATGCCGACGGCGAGGAAGATGATGATCCGGATTTCGAGTTCAAGCTGCCCAGCCCTGTCAACAACCGTAGCCAATACGAGACTGGACCCGATCCTATGGATGTCGACGGTGAAGAGGAAGGGGAGGAAGGACTAGAAGTCGACCTCGCCAAAGAACTCGAGGACGCGTTCGAAAACCTGGAGAACAGCCAGCAAGAAAGCCCCGATGGGGATGAGAGTGAGATTAGTGAAGAGGACTAAAAAGATTTTGGATTATTGGGCCTTTCGATTTGTTTTTCGTTTATATGCGGCGTTTCCACGGAATCTATGGCGCAGATACTGTCAAAAACAGTGATTATGCTGTTGACCAGGCGTTGGAAAAGAGTCATTTTCAAAGGAATACTCGACGATATCACTGCCACTACCAGTACGACTCATGGTGCCATTTCTGGCTATACTATTCTAAAATGAACACACGATGAAATATATATTCACAGAACACCGTGCTTATGGTGCCCCTCATGCTATCCTCTCGGCCCCTTCTCCTTGATCATCATACTTCCATTTCTCACCGGGCAAATGATCCGTGATACCCTCGATCGCATCCTCAGACCAAAGATGGACCTCCGAATAGGATAACTGCCGGCCCCAAATTTTCAGTTCGTCTTTGTCAAACGTCCCAACAGACATGCTAATCCTTTCTGACTTTTCATTGCGCCAGAAGAGCCAGCTGCCGCAGCTGGAACAGAAGCCCCGTGCTGCTTCCGGTGAGGCGCGGTACCGCGATAGCGTCGTCTGAGAGGTGAACTCTACGCTGGAAGCAGGGACTGAATGCAGCCATGCAATGATAGAGCCACCATTCTTACGGCACTGGGAGCATTGGCAAGTTGAGCACTGCCAAGAGATGGTTAGTTCAGTGAAATCTAAGAAACGGGAAATGAGACAAACGCTTCTCTTCCAGTCATGGCCAGATGGAAATGTCAGCCTGTAGCGAACTGAGCCACAGAGACATCCGCCAGAGACGCTTGTAGGGTATTCTTCTGAGGCCATGGGGTTCTTCTTGTACGAGTGATAGTGGCAATGAGACCGAAGTATTGAAATTAAAAGCACTGAGATACGGAAGAGGCTTGAGCGTTATATTGTATAGTGTTGAAGGGCGTGACCCCTCATCGAGGGGCTTTGCCCGCGGCAAGAATGTCAATGGCGCCTTTCGCTTCCCTGTTTCATGAACATCTATAAATTCAAAACTCCTGGCGTCATTATTCCCATGGCTGGTACACTAATGCCTACGTATCAAGTTTAGGCATGGGTATAAATGCATGCATGCCTAGCCAACCACACTCATGACATCCGAAAACAAGAATGTAAATACTGAGTCAGTACGCCGTTTGATGTTCATGTCGTAACATATTCAGACAGCCTCCCATTTTGCAAGCCACCCGACGCTCTCGCCCGCGTTTCTAATGATACAATATCGTCCTTCCTTTGCGTTTTCCTTGACATCGTCTAAAATCTTGTCTATCGCGATCGAACCCATGGCCATCCCGTGACCCTCGCTCAGACTAAATGATCCGGTGGTGACGAAGCCAACGAGATCTTCGGCATTAGGAACAAGAGGATGGCCGTTCATGTCGGATTCATTAGCCGGCGTGAAAGGGTAGGGCGCTGGTTTAGAGATGAGTTCAGCGGCAAGTTGACGCTTCAAAAATTCCAAGTCGCGGGGCGTCGAGGTTCTGGATGTTTTGTTCTTTGTAAGCAGAGACGGCCTAGCTTGAGAAAGCCATTGGAACCGAAGGTCGTAGGGAAGCGAGTAGGGTGAAGATAATGAACCCGGGGGAATAGTAGCAGGGACTTCGGCTTCAGAGGACTGTGGAGCTGTGGTAGGACGAGATGGGAGGCGGTAGATGCGAGCACAGGATGTGACAACGCCCCTAGAGATTAGAGATATACGGACGCCAAGAAGAGCGTTTGTCGGTGTTGTTGAGGGGGTAGATGGAGAAGTGACGGCTTGGTTAAAAACATCTTTCGTGATTTGATGTAGCTGGTAAATGCGTGGCTCTTGTTGCTTCGATACTTGTGTTGAAGCTGGATTTTCGTCCTGGTCCACATCCATCGCGCCCTCAGCATGGTTCTCTTCGCTAGTTTGTGAATCTCCAGTGTCGAACAATAGCTCAAAATCGCTAGCGAAGCCATCACCAATCTCACCCTTTCTCCCACCGCCCAGATCAAGTGATTCCCATGCGGTTCTCTTGCTCTTTGGCCGCTTCTCCCAAGCCGCTCTTCTTTTTCGACGCTCCTCGAGTTCCCATGCAGCACCAGCCTTGGTTCCGGGAAAATCCCCAGGGAACCAAGTCTGGCCTCGTTCGAAGGCGACCTGGCGGATCTCGTTCAAACCTGCGAATCGTGGGTTACCCCCTGAAGAAAGGGGATAATGCACCAAGCAGTACCAGAGATGCTGTATACATTTCCATGGTGCAAGCAGAGTCCATGTACCTTGTTTCTGTGTGCCTCTATCCGTGCGGGAAGCCAAAAGGATGATCGGGATTGGGGCATCATCTGCTGTGAGTTTCAAGGTGGTTCCGGGAACATTTTTCGCTCTTCGTCTATCGATTTGTTTCTGTGAAGGGAAGCAGGACGCGGCATGGCGAGTGTCGCGATCGAATAAGGCATACGGGTTCAAATTCTCCTCGGCCGACCACGACGCTATCCTTTCCAGGAGTTGAAGTTGTGACTCTGGGTCTTCGGGAACCTCCAGGCGCCTTGGAGGGTATTGAAGACGGGGATCCTGCACCGAGAACCCCAACACCGCGCCAGCAGGGAGAGTGGCTGCATTGGTCAAACCGGTCAGTCCTTGAAAAAGCTCAGTATGATCTGTTTTCGTCTTGTCCTTTACGGGATAAGTGCGTAATATAGCTAGCAGAGCTTCTGTAGATCCCGGGCCTGTCAAGTCTAAGCTTCCAATCTCAAATCGGAGATCTTCGATGTAAAGCCGAGGGGTTTCCTGCTTTATTAAAGATAGTAACTCGTTAAACAGCTCGAGGAAGGCTGATGGGTGGATCCTCAAGAAAACCTGTCTCGATTCTTGTTTAAGCTCCTGGTTGTCTTCTTGTGTCGGTGGTTCGGGGTTCCATAAGATGGTGCATGGCCCGATCATCTTTCGGTTGACTTGGTTCTGCTGTCCCGTATGAATTGCCCGAGTTAGAACACCGGTCCATGAGCGGGTTCCGATCCTCCACTTCTTTCCCTTGTCGTTCCAACATGAATCCTGAACAACCCCTATCCGCTTCAACACACGTTCTATGCCAGCGCGTTTGCCGTAAAGGCCAATTGTGCTCATGTAACTCATCTCCCATACAACTGCACCTCTGTCGCCTTGAGCTCGATGTGTAGGTCGGTATATCTTTTCGTTTGGTGTCAATGGGATAGCGAACCGCCATAAAGGTTCCAACGGATCAGTCATGCGTGCTCTTTTCGCATGCCATGAGTGTGTTGGTAGCCATGTTTTGTTCAGTTGACGCTTGCGGAACTTGGACTTTGGCTTTGGAGGTTCGTTGAGTTCGTTTCGTCGAAGTTTTGGTCTCGGTGGTCTTCCTGTTACAGCTAATGCTTTGTCTTTACTGACATCTCCGTCCTGCTTCGCCCTCGCTAGACTAGCCTTGCGTTTCCTCGCTGCCAATATTCCTAATTTTCGTGCTGTTTCGGATCTTATTTTCGCTCGCGTTGTTCTAGGCTTCCTCCTTCTAGCTTCGACAACCGGAGTGTTGTCGTCTTTCATCTCTTTAAGCGCACGTTTTCTTAGTCGGCGCGGTACCCGTTTGGGGTTGTGACTCGCTGTGCGGCGGCGTAAGCCTCTGGGTACCTTCTGAAAGGCGCGGCTGCTAGCAACAGCTTTCGATGTGGCCATGCTCTGCTCAAGAGCGCGAATCTCGAACTCGTGGGCGGCCACAAAAGCCTGGAGATCAAGTTCGCCATCTTTCAGTGCAGCTTCAGCGGGCTGCGCAGGGATGCCGCGCGCAGAATGAACCACGGAGCGCTTCTCCCTACGGCCATTCGATGCCGGTGTGTCGGCCTTTCGCTTTCTGCTGCCCGGCCCAGATTGGGCTCCGGTAGAAGATCCCGGAGCCATGATGAGTGACTGATTTGTTGTGAAGATATCGAATTTGTGAGCTCTTGGTCACCTTGAATGTCAACGTCGAAACGCGATGGAAAGAAAATAAAAGCTTATCGATAAGCTTTGACGGACCCTGAATGGGAGTCATCATTTCAGAACCGCCATCATGACATGGATGCGAATAGGTAGAGAAGCTTGAATTCTTAGAAGAGGCGAGTCAGTCGATTTACTTCTCTCTTTATTACTTTTGGTCTTGGAAAGAGAGATTGCCGGGTCACAATACGATTTTATTCCCCAAGCCAGGACAGTTCTTCAGATGTGGCCACCAAGCTAAGGTAAGGCACCTTTATTTACCTGTACCTACCTTAGGTATATGAATATGAGATGAGCATGGCGAACATGGGCTTTGACAAATGCGGCAAGTTGGTTGATCAAATCAGCAATACGTTTTCAATATTTAATTCCCAAACAACAACATCGAAATAACATATGAACGCCTCTATTAAGGGTATGATAAGCTGTCAAGTTTGCGCCATTCGCCAGATAATCGTGCTAGACGTTGCCAATCTGAGACGACCAGATATTTGAGTCTAGGTACTTGGTCGCCAAGCTCCGACGAGAAAATGATTTTTGATCAGAACGTGATGATGAGGCAGGCCACCAAGCTTTCTGGATCGTCTATCCTAGCTCCATCCCGTAACACTGTAATGTCTCCTCACTGCTTCTGCCAATCGTCCTGGAGGTTGGCATTTGGAACACACCTTATGGCCCCTAGAACCCGATCAGCTCATTAGTGCCTCAACGCATCTAACACAGATCGATGTGATAAGAGATCATACCAAAATTCTGGGGGATCAACAACATTAGGCGTGCATGGCCGTTGTGATCTTTCGTATTTTGGGCACCACTTTCGAACAATCCAAGCATGATGTTGGCACCGAAACTCGACCTTGCATTAGCGGTTAGCAAGAGGCTTCCTTCACTGTAAGAGAGGGAGCTCATACAAAGAAATAGTCACACATTCTCGGTGAGTAAATGATTTTGACAAAGAAAAGGATGAGGAACCGACGGCGATCGTCCCCCTTTTGCAGGACGGCTTCCAGAATACATGTCTGACCTCTCATTTTTATTCGATCACCTTGTTGTGAAATATGCTAAAGGTTCATGGTGAGAGGTGATCGATGGGGAGGATCTTACCGAAGCCTCGGACTCCAAAGTCTCATAATTGTTGTATATTGCTTCTTTTGAGAACGCCATCGCAAGGAAGCGATGCAACCTGCAATGCGGCAGGGAGCCGAAGGACAGATCGGGAAATGGGTGTTTGGGAATTGAGAGAGAAGATTGTGCATAATAGTACAAGTTGTCTCCTTTGTCATCTCTTCTCCCGTGAGGAGGGGGAACTATTGGGTCTGTATGGTTACACAAGCCAGGCGGTTAAGGCATTAAGGCACATCATCACAATCATGGAAGACTTTCATCATGCGGTTAGCCTAGACTTTTGCTTTGAATTTACTACAAAGGCTGAGAATAGTTACGTGATGCTCAGAGTTCCGCTTGCAATAGTCCATCCTCGTTTCTCGGTCCTTACCTAGACATAGAACAGGTTTTGTCTCTTCTCTCGACGGCGGTTGAACTACCCCCCCGTTCATTTTCTGTTTCAAACTATTTCGCCTTGCCAGGATCGCTTACACTTTCAGCTCAAAATCGAACATGGGTTTTGAGAAACTAAGTCGTATTCAGCAGGGATTCTCACCAATCCTTGGGAAGCAAGAAAACTAAAGACATTAGAAGAGGATGCTAACAAGACAATGAACTAAACTCAGCAAAGAGTCCCCCACAAACTCCCTGAAGCTTGGGAAACCGAGCCCCTGGGTAATCAGCAGGAGGAGGCTATAGGCGCTGCTATCATCCCCAGAGCCGCATAGCTTGTCACAGAGAATCAGCTTTGCAGTGATGCCCAAGTCCGAATGTCTAAAAAGCGACCTGGTGATACTAAACTTCTGGCATGCCTCTAAAAGAAAGAGATAAATAATACATTCTCTCAATCAGTTAGGGAACCCGACCTGATCAGCACGGAAAATAAGTCACAATGCGACTTGGCAGGATAGATGTCGGGCAAACTACATCAACCATCAGATTCAGGATAGGTTTAACGAGTCATCAGCTTGCCGGGGTCCGACTACGCTTTCTGAACATGCCAAGAGGCTTGCGCGTGAGAATCATGCTGAGGGGAACAATTACCTTGATGCGTACCGTCAGAAGATCACAGACCCTGAGGCATTCATCCTCAACCGTGTTGACAATGAGCAGCATGCTCGCGAACTCCTCATCCACGTCGCCAGTTTAACCTCCGTCCTTTGCTGTACACCGGTTACCTTTGGTCAGATCAAAAACCACACTGGGCTTGAGTACAACTTTATTGTCCTCGATGAAGCCGCTAGAATGCCAGAATCATTGTTTCTCGTGCCTATGGCGAAATGTCCCGAGGCATTGGTCCGCAAGGACTGGCAGTCATTTTTTGGTCCTCAGCGTAAGCTTGTTTGAACGTAGTGAGAAATCAGGCGCCTGCTGTTTAGGTTGAAGTCCAATTACCGCGCCCATGGAGAAGTTGCCCATTTCGTGAAAAGCTAATAAGAAGATTTAGTCAACTTAGTATAAGTTTAGGATAACTTTTGTTAAGTTTAGGATGACTTTTGCTGAGTTTAGGATAACTTTGCTGAATTTAGGATAACGCCCTAGGGCAGTCACTTTGTCAAGGAGATGCTAGAGTCTTCTTTCAAATCGTTTCCTGGTCCCATCTTAGGACCGTCCGTTACAACACCCTATTTCTCCCTCTCTGAATGAAACATATGATTCGGTGGCGATCCAGCTGACCGGGTCGGGTTTGAGCCTTGCAGGAATGACTCGCAGGCGGTTCTTCTTCTTCTTGTTTCTTTTTAGAGCGAGGGAGCTGAAGACAAAGTGTAGGACCTCATCAACGAGAATATTACCAGCTCCAGGAGTGAGCAAGAGTGTAAAAGTCAGAATGTACTTAGTAAAGGACTCGGGAATATGATATCTCCTATATAAAAAATGTGTATCTGTGCCATTATTTTGAATTAACATGCCCTCCCTTGATTGATGCCCGTAGAGGTAGAGAGAGGTAGGTACTCGTTGATTATCAGGATGGCTACCAGCCTCCTGTGGCTTTGCTTGTTACATCTCTCGTGGCGTCAAGTTACAGGGGGGCGTCGTTCAACCATCATGGGATCTGATCCCTGGGATTGCATATGACGATATCCTCATCATTTACGTTGGGATCATCACCTTTCGGTCGCTGGCTTATCTTATCATCGCTGACTACGGTCAGTTTCAGTTCCTCCACGTTCAAACGGTCGCAACCGTTCCACGAGCTACAGCGCCATAGGGCACCGCCGTATCGTTAGTTGGAATTGTCTGGCAGACCAAACCCAAAGTCAAAGTCCAAGCCAAAAAACCTAAGCAGAGGTAAATCCAGAGGGGGATGGCCTCTTTAAGTAAGCCGCATCCCCACAAGGTTCGCATTTCCGGTGCATTGCACAGGCTATTTCTATATATATTCTCTGGCATCTTAGCTTTGGCGATATTGTAACCGGCACTCTTTCACTCACTGCAGTCTCATTACGGAAATCTGTCGTAAGATTAGATACCGTCACAGTTACGCTCAAGCGAGCTCGCTATATACTTATTCACATAGTCGTGACTTGAGCATTGCGAATCATCGACAGAGGGATATCCTGACAATCGTTGCTAACATGGGCTTTCTCAAACCTGAAGTTGGCAAGGCCCGGAAGGTAAGGATTAATCTCAATCTTCAACACGAACTCAAGTTAACTCGTAGTCCAGCCAAAATTCGACCTTCATCTCAAGGTACATCCATCAATCTACATCCAGCCATTGACTTATGCTTCCTAGATTTACGACCTTAACAACGTGCCGCTCGTTTCTGGTCAGGCTTTTGTCAAATGGCACCTTTCTCACTCAATGACCGCGGAGCATCGCGGGCGCACGCAGAAATGCCCAATCGCCAACCACAGGGTTGAATGGGGCTTTGTCACCGCGGTGCCCTCTATCCGCATATCGATAGACCGCAATAACAACCTTACCGAATGTCCCATGGAGTTTGAGGTTATACAGGAATTCGGCTTGACAGAGAAGGTCACCCTTGGTATTGTTCGCCTCAACCTGAGCGAGTACGTGGAAGAGAGCGAGGCCTTCGTCAAGGATGTCGCATCGCCTGGTCGCATGCGTAGCAACAGTATGGGTGTCAGCCCGACGAGGGGTGGTACATCAAGGCCGCGCCGTGATTCAGATGTCGTCGAGGATGGCATCGTGAGAAGATATCTCATGCAAGACAGCAAAGTCAACAGTACGCTGAAGATCAGTATCCTCATGCTCCAAGTCGACGGAGAACGGAGTTACGTAGCTCCCCCTCTGAAAACGGCTCCCGTCTTTGGAGGTATTGGAGGCATCATGAGCGAGGCAATAGAGGACGACGCCGGGCGTAAGTTGAACTGATTCGTTCCCTATCATTCCCTGCCGCTGACAAGATATAGCAATAGCTGCCGCGGTCCCCAACTTGTCTAAGCCTCGCGACGCCGCTGAGCTCCAAGACCTATACCGAAGCGTTCTCGCTGCTTCGTGGAGTCGGCAACCGAATGAGCACTCTGCCGAAGAAGTCATTGAGGACATCTTCAACGGAGGTAACGGCTGGAAAACCAAACCTCACAATGCTTCGCCTGTCACTGATGGAGAAGACGACGACGACGATATGGGTCCACGTGATACTATCCGAGCCCGTGATACTCGCCGTATAACTCACAACCTCCTTCACCCTCATCACCATCATCACCACCATTCAAACAGAACTGCCTCGCCTTCGCACAACCACCAAAACAACAGCCCAGCTGGCTCCTCACATCGCCGCACACCAAGTAACTCGAGTGATAAGAGCTTCTCGACAGTTACAGTTACTCCATCGAACCGACGCAAAGGTGTACGCATCCATGAGCACCACCTCGACCACGCGCGTAGTATGGCGAGCATGACGTCTACTATGACACTTGATAGCGACCCAATGCGTGAGGCGAGTTACAAGGGAACCCGCGAGGTTAGAGAGGATGATATGCGAAACGACCTCGTTGCTTGGCGATTACCAGGTGATGGGAATCAGGTAATGTGAAGGACCTAATTTAGACGTCGAAACTGAGCTTGTTCACGGCCTCGAGGAGGCGCCTGGAGTACCTATTTAACGATGTTTCCTGAAGGGCTTCCACCGAAATGGTTCGACATTAGTCTTTTAAATGTTAAGTCTTTATTCAATTCATCCCTGACAACCCTCTATTGTGTCTTCTAGAATCTACCAATAATCCCGTGCTTTTTGCATGCCAACCCCCCTTATAAACCCACTCATAAAATCATTGCGGCTTTTCAATCAAAGTTCCTGCTTTTGAGTCCAGCACTTCTAGACTTAGATGTTTCCTCGCACACCACCCTTACCGCCAACTTCCCGGGCTGTAACCGTAACGCCGAGATCGGCTAGAACGTTGATCGTGACTTCGACCTTGCCACCAGCCTTGACGCCCTTGATGGCGGCCTCGGCAAGAGGGTTGCCGATCTTCCAGATCTTCTCCCGGGTCTCCTCTTCCTCTTCATCAGAGTCATCAAAATCGGAGTCGTCCTCATCCTTGTCTCCATTCTCTTCCTTAGCCTTAGGCTCAGGCTTGGTGACCTTGATGTGGGTGTTACCCTCAACAATCTTAATAAGAACATCGCCACCTTCCTTAGGAGCGGGAATATGGATAGTGCGACGGGCAGGGGCGGCGGTCTCAGGGGCAATGATGGGGGTGAAGACATCCTCGCCGTCAGCACCCTCGGTGATAACACCAATAGCATTGGAGATGTGCTTGACAGTGGTGACAGCAGGGTGAGTGGACTGCTCGATATCGGCGGCCTCGTACTCCTGGATCAAAGAGGCCTGGAGGGCAGCACCACGAGCAAGGAGCTCAGAAGGGTTGATGGCGGACACGCTCGTGGCGGGAGCTTGAATCTCGGTAGTCTCAGGGAAGATACCACGGAGGTTGTTAGCGATACGAGGGGTGTGGGCAGTACCTCCTGACAGAATAACCTCGTCAATGTCAAGAACATCGAGGCCGGCCTTCTTGACAACACCCTCGATGAGTCGGTTGAAGCCCTCGAATACCTTGCGGGCAACCATCTCGTATCGTATCCTGTTGATAGTAACAGAAAAATCGAAACCATCCGCCAAGCTCTCGACGCTGAACTGAGCGTTGCTGCCCAGGCTCAGAGCTCGCTTGGTAGCCTCGGACTCAAGTCGAAGCTTTGCAAGACTGCGAGTGTTGTTTCGGGGGTCAATGCTGTGCTTCTTTTGGAATTCCTTAGCAAAGTGATCCATAAGAGCATTGTCCAAATGAACACCAGCAAACTCGTAATCGTGAGCAGTGGCGAGGATCGTGTAAAGACCACCTCGCGAAGCGACAACGGCAACATCTGAGCGAGTGCCACCAAGGTCGGCAACAACAATAATCTTATCCTCGATCTTGGCCTCAGGACGGGCATCGTAAGCGAGAACAGCGGCGACAGGGTCAGAAATAAGCTGGAGGATCTCGATGTCGGCGTCGTTGGCGGCCTTGATCAGAGCCTCTCGCTGCTTCTCGGTGAAGTTTGTGGGGACGGTAACAACGGCAGAGGTGACCTTCTTGCCAAGGTAGTCGGAAGCAGAACCCACAAGGCGTCGCAGGTATCGAGTAGTGGCCTCTGAAACAGAAACAGTCGAAGTCTCTTCTTCGCTCTTGTCCTTGACAGAAAAAGCAACGGTGCCGGAAACATCCTTGGGGTGGGCGGAGGCGTGAGAGTGGGTAGGGTCGATGGACTTGAATCTGAAGGCATCTTGTCAGTTTCCTTAGTTCCAGAATTGGGGCTGCGGCGGAAAGGTCGCGTACTCTTGGCCGAGGAAGTCCCGGAAGTTGGCGATGGTGTTATCGGGGTTGCGAACGAGGAAGTTCTTGGCCTGTCCGCCGTAGTACTCATCGCCGTCAACGTAAGACAGAATGGTGGGAATTTGTCGGTCTATCGAGAAGCTAACGGTAAGCAAGCGACCAAGTGACAGTATCACGGGGCACATTTCAAGTCGATCTAGAACATACCTCCATCCTCGTTGGCAATAACCTCGGCCTTGTCGTCAACAGTATAGGCAATGGAACTGTTGGAGTTACCAAACGTAATACCAATGGCAACTCGGTCGCCAGGCTCAGGGCCCTTGGCTCCAGCGTTGTCACTCATTAGGTCCGTCGGAAGGGAGTTGTGTGAGTCCTTATAGGGAGAGAGGGAGAGAGAAAGTCAAGACTCTGTGCCTCTGTTGAGTTGAAGCAAAGAGGTTCCAAGATGTCGAGATTTTGGAGGGCGAGTGCGAGTTGGTGATGGATGTTAGTGGGGTTTCTTTTCTTTTCCCTCAGAGATTGGAAAAAAACTGCCCGCTAATCGCTTCACCCACATTTTTTCTTGATCGGCCACTGGTACGTATTCACGTTATCGTTATCGATTCTCCACATGCCGCCTGTGCTCATGGTTTTGAAGTTGTCGCATCGGGATTACAGCTTTTAACTGTTACATTTCAAAGCATTAACTCGTCAACCTCTCCATCATGGCATCTGATGCGGTGTTCGTACTGCCAGGCGATATCATTGATCCATCTCTTATCCCTTCACACGCTAAGAAGCCTCTGCGGCTCGGTCCTGGCCTACGACATGTGCCTCCCAACGACATCGTTCCCACACTTGCTGGCCAACTTGTAACTGATCGACAAAAGAATGCAATTCGTGTAGAGAATGCTCGAGGAAAGGTACGCTTCTGAATTATCTCCGGGCCGTAGAACGTCGGCTCACCAATCAACAGTATACCCCTCGCGTCGGTGAGCTCGTCATCGGGACCGTCCAGCGCAGCGCCGCCGACTTATTCTACGTTACTCTCTCCGACTATACTGCGCCTGCTCTTCTACCACAACTTTCTTTTGAGGGCGCCACAAAGAAGACCCGTCCTCAGCTTACCGCGGGTGCACTTGTGTACGCACGGATTGCTCTCGCCAACCGGCACATGGACCCAGAGATTGAATGCGTATCTTCTTCAACAGGAAAATCCGAGGGTCTAGGCCCTCTAACAGGCGGAATGCTCTATACCGTGTCACTTGGAATGGCTCGACGTCTGATGATGCCCAAGAGTGTGCAAGAAGGCCGGATTGTGGTGCTGGAAGAGCTCGGTAACGCAGGCCTTCAATTTGAGACAGCTACAGGACGCAATGGCAAGTTCTGGGTTGACAGTGAGAATGTGAAAACGGTCATTGCTGTTGGGAGGGCAGTACTGGAGACTGATGAGAGGAGATTAGATGTCGAAGAACAGAAGAAGCTTGTCAGGAAAATCATCAAAGACCTAAGCTAAAGGGGGCGAGCATGTGCCAGAAACCATGATGCTCAATAGCACTCTTTGTATTGGAATAGTTCGGTTGTACACTGTTGAATTAATAGATACCCAAGAACGAACACGCCTGGCTCGTCCGCTGTTAGACGAACATGTCTTTTCCCATGACCTAACGCCCGAATAGTCCTACATGTCCAGACATTGGTTTTTGTGCTGATTCCTTGACTTCTAATACCCATATATGCCAAATTTGAACGAGTGTAAGAATCAAATCGCTGTAAATGAAAAAGGAAAGTAAGTAAACAGAGAGCCCAGCAAAGTGCTAAGGCTTGTCAGTCAGTGGCCGATTCAGGTGGCACATAGTACAGTGCAGGATGCAGCGGGAGTACCCCATATCTACAGCAGCAAATAACATGACGTCGCAAACAGGTATCCTTATGTGCCGCCCATCTCCTGGTCGACTTCCACAGGTTCTGGGAGGTGTCTCTGATCCATATTGTGAATCTTTGTCATATGCCGTTTCCAGTTATCCTTGCGAGGGAATCCCTTTCCTCCTTGCCTTGAGTAGTCGCAGCCTTGCACAGCGCAGTGGAACTTTTTCTTTCTTTCGTGTCGATCATTGACATGCCGCTGGAGATGTGTCTTGGTCCCGAATCCCTTGCCACAGTTCGGGTAAGGGCATTTGTGGTCTTTTGTATGATATCGTTGATGATGCCTGTTGGGTTGATGAGCGACTTGGATCAGCCATGCCATGATATAAACTTACTTGAGCTTGTGTGGCTGATCGAACACCTGGTTACAGCCAGGCTCATCACATGCGTGTGAACCAATACTCGGTGACGGGTTGCTCACGGCGTTTCCTGGTGACACGCTATGTCGGTAGTCGGAAGATGTACCAGAGTGAGGTGAAGGAGTATCAAGCTGTGTCGCAGGTGTACTGAGCGATGACGGGTTGGTGAATGCCGGTCCAGGCAGGGGGGTGGACGCATCGGAGGGATAGCTTGGGTGTCGAATACTACTGTCGGGGAGAGGACTCAAGTGGTTGGCCGTTGGAATTTCAGACATAGAGATATCTTGATTGTCATCGACCTCCGTTTTAAACGCTATTTGACTCTGGGTTGGTGTAGGTGAGTGAACTATGGGCACAGGTTGAGGTTGAGGTTGAGGATCACTAGGAGGGAGGGTTAACGGCGACGGCGAGTCCACAGGTCCTTCATGTGTGGCAGGCCCAGCTGAGGGGGGCGGCTGGTTGGGTGAGGATTGCGATACAAATAATTGGTAGTCATTCCTGTGCCATACTTCGGTTTCTGTCGATGCAGGCATGATATCCATAGGGTTCACGGTACCAGGTGCGGGATGGCTAGGAGGGGATTGGGACGCGTTGAAGTTGAAAGTGGTCGGTGGGGAATCTGGGGGACTTTGCACAGCCCCCTTTGGCAGGGTAGATGGTAAAGCGATCGGGGAGCCCAAGGCTTGGGTAGACGAAGGTACCGGCAAAGAATCAGTCGCCGGAGCAGTCATGTCAGTAGGAGATTCGGTCGGTCTTCCTGCTGTCGTGATCCGTTGAAGACTTCCATCCTGTGCTCTTGGTATGCTTTCGAGGTTTTCAGCCAGGCATTCCGATGTTGGTGAGTTCAGAGACTGATCGCGCGTGCTCTTGCGACTAAACATCTGTTTTAAATTATATCTCAAGGAGCTCCCGCGCGACCACGAGCGTTCAGGTTGAGGTCGGGATTCCTCAGTCGAAAACATGCCAAATGCCTCCGAGGGGACTGATGGGCTATAGTAATCCGCACTGGTCCCATTAAGAACAGCCCGGGGTGCATCGCCAATAGACTGCGGCATGTACTCTTCATGATGATTCTCGTCGGAGCCGAACGGTGCTGAGCGCGGTATTGAGTCGTTGGCAGTTGGCTGAGCATTTCCAAAGCCATAAGAAGGTAAATTTGTGTCGATTCGGGGAATATAGTCTGGTTGACCTTGTCCATTAGTTTGCTGTAAAAAGCCATCGTGGGCTGTCCAGTCCAAGTCTTTGACGGATCCATCAACTCCCCCACGCGTATTTTCTCCAGAAGGTTTGAAAGAGTCTTGTGAGGACAAGCGGCGTTGATTGTCGTCTATCCCGGGGGCTCCAGTTGCTGGAACTTCGCCAGTCTCTGGGTCGTTCGTGTCCGGGGGGCCGTGAAGAGATGTTTGTTTTCGGCGTCTGATGCGGCGGATGATAAAGGGATACGAGCAAAGAACAACTAGCGCAATGCCCACGATAACACCAACAACAACACCCGCGATTCCTCCATCGCCAAGCTGGCGTTTCAATACGGCGCCTCTAATTTCGAGATTACCCATCGCATGGCTCTTCCTCCGACTTAGACATCGCAGAGTATCCATCTAATTGGACCACGCCGGGTTCGAGGAATAAGTGGCGGATGGGGGAGGTAGCCAGCAGCAGCCGGCAAGAGCTGATGGGAGCTGGGAACTGGGACAGCTAATCGAGTGGTGATGCTTCCTTTCGTATTGCTGGGTTAGGTTATTGGGGCGGGGTGGCCGGTATAACACTGGATGCTCAGGTCTTGGGAGGCCGCCGTCGCAGTCGCGCGAGACACAGCGAGCCCCGTGGAAGGCTTGTGCTTTGTTGAAAGGGTCCAGTCGATGAATCGGAAGATATGGTGGGGATTAAAGGGATGATCACTTTAGTTGTTGGATAGTTAGTGTACTCATGATCGATCGTTGTGAGAGACAGATTCATGCATGAGTGAGATGCAATGACATGGCGGGATCCGGGGGTGGTCGTCAGCGGCCAAGCGCAAAGCAACGGCCCTCCTTCTGACAGTGGGTTTTTATCGCGCCTTTTCAGGGCTCCAACGTCTTCAACTGTGCATGGCCCCAGGGAGCAAGAAAACTTCCGACGTTGGAAGGGGGTGTCAAAAGTAAATGGTATCGGGTGCACCAAATATACACTGAATTATGTCCGCATCTTTTTTGTATCTGGGATAGAGGTCCTCAATTTTCTTGCCTCCCGTTGCCAGATTAAAGTAGCTCACCGGGGACGAGATTTCATTGGACATGGGCGGTTACTTAGGCCCCGCTTCCCGTCCGAAGCTCCGTCAGTCTAAGCCACACTCATCTCTACGTACTTGGTACTTGGTAGGTAGTGTCAACTCACCCCTGGCGTCACCAGTTTCAACACGATTTACGATTTAATCACAGGTTGTTTGACTTTAACAGTGCGGTCTACAATTTTCAGATCTTTTCTCTTAATCTGTCTCATCTTGTTTCTTTTTGACTGAAGATGAGTAGCATCGGCAACAATCACATCGTCACATCGGGAGACGATGTCACTGTTCCTTGTTTCATTCGACCGTGGGTTTCGTCAAGCAGTTGGTCTCAAGCTACTGGCCCCATAATGCCGATGACAATTTGCAGCCAAGTTCTATAAATAAATGCATTCGTGAATATCGAAAGAGCAAATATTACTCAAAGAACCGTCAAATCGGCTGCATACCTAATCTACGAATGTCCTCCTTGCTGAAGCCTCGTGATGTCTCAACTATATATCTAAGCCTCCCCAGTCACCGGCTATGATAATGCAGCATTAGATCTGATAGCTCTATGTTTGCAAGATGTTCTTACTCGCTGACCCTACAAGCCAAGACTCAACCCCTTCCTCTCTGGTGTTCGCGAGCGAGCGGGAGTAAGGCAATGATCGAGAATTGGCACCATTTCGGATCAGTTTGATGGCCCTGATCATGCGAGATTATTGTCATTCCGTTACTCTCGCTTTTGATAAAATGCAATTATTACCCATCCTACCAGATAGAATCCATATGTAAGAAATAATTACTAAATAATAAATATAGTTAGTTCAATTTAAAGATCTGGGCCAGCCTCTGATAAAAAGGATGTCTTGTACATGCTCCGTATGTCTTGTCAATCCTCAGACCCTTGCAGGTGACCTTGGGCCATTGTTCTACGTACCTAGATACTCCATTGGACCCTTATTCTTGGCTTCTCTTTCATAGGAATATCCTAGACCAGTCCCGGTTTAATCAAGTCAGCACTATCATTCCTTGCGTGAACATACCCGTCACATTTGTCATCGTCTTGCAAGCAGTGAAAACGCGGGCATGAAGATCTATCCCAATTTCTAAATTCGGCACTTACTATGCTTCACAAAATCGATCTTGTTGCCAAGCCATGTCCCCACCACAACACCGACCCCAGTGTGGCTCGATTGCCTCCAAGACACTACTAAGAACTTAAGCTAGTCCATCAGGTATGGAGTACTGTGGCCTTGTTTTGACTTCATCTCTTGACTAATAAAGGGGAGCGGGTAGTAGTAATCGTCGATAACTTTCTCTTTCATTCAACGTTCTCTAGAAAACAGCTTCCAAGCTTCGATACACTTCGGCTTTCGTTCAACCCAACATCCTTTGATTGACAAAACGACAGACCCAATTTGTCTTATCAACCAACTGAACTTCAAGTGCTCAAACAGCTACAAACACCGCCAGACACGCTTCTCTTCATTGTCCTCAAATTCCTCTTAAAGACTTCTCAGTTAGACCACAAATAAGCGATTGTTCGCAACTGCATCCTCCCAGACCTTTGAGGTGTAATCGGTCGGTACCTGCTTACCCTGACGTAGGCGAAAAGTCATTGCAGGGTGCATCAGAACAATCTCCGCTTGTCTGGCTCTGGTTATTGCCACGTTGAGGCGTTGTGCCTCGTCCATGAAGCCGGGCTTCGTGGTTCTCACCATATCAAGGAAAACAACATCTGCCTGGTTGCCTTGAGCCTTGTCTACCGTCAAGACTTCTGTCCTCTCCTGCCACTCAACTGGCCAACCCTTAACCACGTGTGCATACTGACGCATGGAGACACTATATGGTGTCTGGATCATCACACGTCCGGGTTTGCTGTCTGTGATGGCTCGGAATGCCGGGTCCTCCAAAAGCTTTTTAACTTCAGCCAAGACCCAGCGATGATTCACAGGGTTCCAGAAACTGTGACAGTGGTTTTCCTCTTTGCTCGCCGAAAGGGCAACAATAGCCCGGTTCGCATTCAATCTTTGTCCACTACCGAGGGCCTCAAGGTGCCGTCTCAGGTAGCGAACCGTTTCCGGGAACTGCCTTGATGATGGGTAATCAGAGGACATCCTTCCGCCATAGAAGAGATCCGACGGCAGCTTGTGCAAGTTGCCATGCGCTCGCTTGTTGATCAACAATGAACAATTGATCGCCCCCAGTCTACTGGCCCTTTCCATGAGACTAAGACGCAGCTGCTCAGAATATGGATTCACCTCAAGCCCTTTCTTCAGGGCATCGCGTGGATCGCCGCTCTTCACGAAAGGTCGAGTCTGTTTGACATCACCCGTGAAAATCCAAGCAATTGGCTCAAAGAAGGCGATAGGTATGAGCGTCGTTAGCTCTCTGGCATGGGGTGCTTCATCCATGAAGATGATGTCTGGCTTAAAAAGCTTAGCGAAGCCCCCATATGCGGCCACGGGTGTCGTGGCTATGAAGTCTGTCTGCTTCAAAACCGCGGTGTACAGTTTTGTAATTTCGTTCCGCAAGCATTTCCAGTCGTCGTGGTGCAAGACTTCCTTAGCATCCATTCGCGTGAGCACCTTCTTGAGCGCCACAAAACCACCATGTTTGTGCTTTTCATAGTACTCCCAGGCAGCTTCATCCAGGGTTGGCGCCTTGTTAGGGTTTCTTCTGGCATTCAGAGTCTTTGCGATATTTGCAGTTGTCAGAAACTTTCTCGTAAAGTCTGTTTGCTGGTCACAGTCTTGTGTCTGATTCTTGCCCAGTCTCTCGCTGTTCTTCATTTCGTAAGGCCAACCGTGCATTCGAATAATGCGAAGATGAAGGCCACACTCCTTTGCCAAGTTCCAATAGCGGTCCGCAGCATCATCGACTGTCTTGTTGAGGTCAACGAGAAATAGAATGGGGTTGTACCGCCTCTTCGCACCTGGACGACGTACTGACTGAATCAGAGCAGAAACGACCATGTTCCATTCTGTCTTACCCGCACCGGGACATCCATTCACAAAATAGAGGCCGTTCGGGATCGACTTCAGTCCTTGAAATGCCGCCACATGATCCTTGTTAAAGGATCGGAATCGTCGCAGAATACTCCTCCGAACCCTATGGTCTGGGTGGTGTGGGTTCCTAAGGTGCGGAAATATATCGTGGAGATTAGTAATAGTTGTGTTTGGTCGCTTGAATTCAAGTATTGTCTCAAAAGCGGCCTTACACTTTGAGCTGACCTGTCGACTTTCAACTTGGCAACCTCCAGTTAGGCGATGCAGCGCGGCTAGTTCGGCCTCGTAAGTATTTGAAAACGTGTCCCATGTGATGAAGACATGTTTTTGACACGTCGGATCCAAGGTTATGCGTTGAAAGTCATCGAGTGTAGCGGCTGTCTTCATGTGGTTCATCAGTTCGAGGATCTCCTGGTCTCCTTCATCATTCTTCACCGCACGTGGCACCTGGATGTTGAAGGCCGCACATTTCACGACTTCTGGGCCGACGATGGTCTCCATATCCTCATACGGGTTTTTCACGCGTGTTGCTGACAAATTGACGAGAGAATAAGTCTTGTTCGAAAGATATATTCTTTCTTCGAACTCGATGCGGAAGTTGTCAGTGAGCGCGGGGAAAATGACTTCTTCGCATTGTTTGGGGACTGGGACAAGAAGGAGCCAGGTCGTGGTGAAAGAATTGGCCAAGGAATCAATCTGGGCTATGGGCCAGGCCTTGAAGGGGGTTCGAAGATCATTGAACCGTTTCAATATGGTCTCCTCGTTTCGTTGCTCGATTATAGTACCATTCTCGTGTCTGTTCACATACTCGCTCACAGACAGGGCGTACAATGGTTCCAGTGGCTTCTGAGAGCTTAATTTTAGCCATATAGTTCGCAGGTCTGGATGACCAAGACTCACATTTCCGGACGTAGGAACACTTCCTCTAACAGGGGCCGACACAAGAGAAGCAGATGATGCCATATCGGAGGAATAGCAACGAGCCGTAATGCAGCAGGCTTCTGAGACTTATTAAAGAATCGAACGAAGAAGTTGATGATAGAAAACAAGGGCGGAAGTGTAAACTCGGAGAATATGGTCCCCTCTGGCTAATCTTAGGCAGAAGTTTGTAAGGAAGGGTGAAGAAAAGAAGAGGGAAGGAGGAGAAGCGTTTGCACTTGCCTTTTATTATTATAAAAAGGTGCTCATGCAGGCACCCGACGCGCTGTGAATCACTGCGCGCCAGCTGTGAATCACTGTCAAAAGTTGGAAGGGGGTTCTCGAGTGCAAAGAGAGAGAAGGCAGTGGCAGCAGGTGTTGG